TTTTTTCTTTTATTATTATTATGCCTTATTTATAAATTAAACTTTAGCATAAGTAAGTACATACAGACGAAAACACAGTGTAGATATTGTTCAATACTGTTCACAATTTCAGACATCCATGAGAAGTCTTGGGACATATCCCAAGGATAAGGGAGGACTAGAAATTTTTATACTAGAAATTTCACCCATTGCCACATTATGTAAATATATCTCACTAATCAACTTTGTAGTACTAAAGATATGCTGTTTCTTCATGTTCTCGGTCTTTTCCTTCCTTTTCCAAAATATTTCACTATGCGATGCACTACATGCATAAATTTCTTTGCAGTTTGATATGAGAAGAGTACATTTTTAGAATGAATATAGGATTTCAGCCTCTATTCTTTGAGATATTTATTTACATAAAGTGAAGAAGTTGATTTGCTTCTTGAAGATACTCTCTTATACATGTGACATCAAAAATTAAAAATATTTAATAAAATGATTGCACCACTTATGCTTGTAAGATGTGGGGAAATGTTTTAATTTGTAATTTTTCTTAAGTGTTCTCAGTATGCTTTTTGCATGTGACTTCCTTTCATTTCAGTACAATTGATGTTAATCAGTAGATATGGTTTCAGATGTTTGAGGTAAATCTGAGTTTTATAAAACAATTTCATGCAACAAATTACTTTTTAAAGAAATAATTTTATAAATTCTTTTTAGGAAGTTGGATGACTCCCTGGTTCATACTGTGTTGTTCATTCGTTTGTAATCTAAAAGAGAAATAGAGTATTTGTAATTCATAATTTCTACAAGTAAATAACCATTAGCCTTAATGTTTAACTCATACGTCTTTGTTGTTCAGAAAATGAAGATGACACATTGATTTCCTGTATGAAACTAAGCAGATCTCAAGAAAAGAAAGCTAATAATTTTAGCACAAGGAGGAGGGGAGAAATGGAAATTAGACCAGAGTCTCATCCTATATCTGTGGATCCATCCAGCACTTCAAATGAATGCAACTTGGAAGACATATTATCTTATCATGAAGGCGAAGTTCAGAAGTGGAACATCTGGAAGTCTTTTCCAGAAAATCTGTTCTGGACTGGCATTGACTTCCAAATTGCCCAAGCTGGATCCTGGGACAACTGCTCCACTTGCACTCACCACTCACGTCTCAAATCTTCTCACACAGATATGGATCTCTTACATTCATGGGTGAGTTTGTAAACTACGGAAATATGTCATCTTAATCTGTGTATTTATACCACCAGGAAATAAGCAGATAAAAAAAAATGTGTCAATTAGTCACATTTTTTAGTTTCAGGAAAATTACCAGAGTTACAGCTGTCTTTCCAAAAAGCAGTTCAGCTCTTATGGTTTCTGTCCCTGTTAATATTGTATATATTCCTTTGTGTACAAATACACTACTGCATAGTATTTTCCAGAGATTTTATTTTAATTGAAGGGAGACTTTAGCTGCTGATTTTGATTAAGAAAATGTGATTGAATTGTCTAAATTATTGCTAGTAAAATTAAGTTGCACTGACAGCTAACAAATAATTTTAATGAGCATTTTTTGGGGCCTGGTATTCTCCTAAGCACTTCCCATGTATTGACTCATTTAAATATCACAACAACCACGTAACATAAGGATTGTTATTCTAACATTTTTTCCTCCCTGTTTCATAGGTAACAAAACTGAGGCACCAATATGTTAGTAACTGGTACAAATTTAAGCAACTAACAAGAAGTGGAGCCAATATCTGGAACATACATAGTCTTATGCTAGAAATTCTGCTTCTAGTTAATATATTATAGAGTTTTCCATGTACCAAGCTAAACTCTAAGACTGTAGAGTATAGGAGAAAGTGCAGATTCTGTAGTTAGACAAATTTGTTTTGGATTCAAGCCCTGCTACTTTTTTAGCTTACGCAAATTACTTAAACCATTGAATCTTAATTTTCTTAGCTGTGAAATGAAAATAGTAATATTAAACTCATGAAATACCCAAGAAGTCAAAAATTGAATATCATAAATCCTGTAGAATGTAAGGGTGTCTTTTTTAAAGAATTGATTTCATGCTCCTTAAGGCATAATTTCCCTACATTTATTGGTTGTTTGTGTTTGCAGTGAAGGAATAGAATAGCTTTGTGTGTCCAGGTAGCCTTTACACCATTTTCTTCTAATGATCAATCTCTCATTAGACACGGTTATATTTTTATGATGCATTATAAGTCTCTGAAGAAGCTTGTTCTTTCAGAGTCCTTTTTACCTTTCAAGGTTTGTGTTTTGCCTTTGAAGACTAGGACTAGGGTGACCTGAGACTGGAGTTCCATGTTAAATGTTACAGGTGTTTGTCTAACAGACTTCAATCAGTGACATTGTTCAACAATAATCATTTTTGAGGCTGCCTCTTCAACTTCTTTAGTCTTTCTCTTCTGGGACAGCTGGACATGGCAGGCTTCTCTTCAGCATCTTCTCACAGAGTAGCTGGCAATATAATTAATTAGGACCTGTTTCTGAAGACTGGCAGCTTCAGAAGCAGAATCAAGGATGCTGTCTTCTTGACAAATGGCAAAGCTGGTACAGAAGAATCAAAACAGAAATGTACAGAGCTTCCTTCAAGAGTAAAATCTGGACACCTTAACTTGGATTTCTAGATTACAGCTGTCTGGTCTCCATCTACATTTTCAGTCTTATCTTCCTGCTGCTCTTGCCTGATAGGTTTCATATGCTGGACTGCCAAAGTGAATGATCTGATTTATTCCTAAAAGCTGTCTCCTGCTTCCTTGCCTCTGTATCTTTCTGTCTGTGTGACAACCTCTTCCTTGCTTGAGAGCAATTCCTCCACCCCGTAAGTTCACATCAAATATTTTGTCCTTCAGAAAGCCTTCCTGGGCCATGCCAGACAGAAGTCATCTCTCTTTCCTTTGAACTTCTAGATCATGTAAGCACATTATTCTTACATTAGGCACATATCAACCATATATTGTCATCTGCTATGTGCCAAGTCACAGTATTAGATACTAGGGATAGAAAACAAAAAAGTCTATTCACTGCTCCTGTCTTTACAGAGCTTCCATACTCTACCATGTGCTAGAATTAATTAGGCATTTGTTCATTTCCTAAGAGTAATTTATCTTTGTATCCTCCATGGTCCTGAGAATATAAAGAAATAAATATCTGAGTAGCATTTGCTGCCTAGATGAATGAAGTTCTAAAAACTAGTGGACTTGGTTTCCATAAATCTAGAAAAACATTTTTTTTCTCATTATCTTGTCTTTTTTAGCCAAAGCTTTATTCATTCTGATTAACTCAGTTACCTATCAAGTTAGTTATTGTGAGTATGAATGCTTGTAAATCTGGGGGTGTCCATTTAGGCAAAAACAATAGTGATAGTTTTTGAAAAAAAAATTAGGTAGTTTTGCCTACTTTAAGTGCATAACTAAATGACTAAATGAGTTTTGTCTGTAGAAGGTCAAGCCTATCCGCCAAAGGCTCAGAATTTCAAATAGGAATGTTCAGCTTTTGTGACAGGAAAGCCTCCGTGGATTTGGCGAGAAGGTTCAAGAACATGTTGGAGTTAAATTGGTTTTGGTAAACTTAATGAGACCACTTACACCCAGGGATTTGAGACACTAGAGTGAAAGAAGTTGAATGAGTGCAGATTATTATTTTATATTCTATACATATATTCTATAATAATAACAAGTGAAAAATATCCAGTTTCATTTTAGCAGAGCTGGTATTTTTTCTGTAGTAATTGCAGAGTTATTATTTGGGTTATTTAACTTTCACTCTATAGAAGAAATAGAAGGCAGACAGTGTAGAGGGAGAAGATGTGCTTCCGAAATGAGTATTACTATTAATGACAGGTAGTCAGAGGTGACATTTTTGCCATTTTAAAGGGTAAAAGTGTGACTAGATTTTTTTTTAAAAAGTGTGCCAATATGCAGATATGGTGGAGCTGGGCCTACACCCCCCATTTCATAGGCAATGGATCTAATCCACAAAGACATTTGTTTCTCCTTGACTTCAGAAATTTAAGGAATAGTAGATTTCAGTACCTCTGATCTCATTATCAAATCAGAGTTTTGAAGTGGTCTGAAATTGACTTGTCTTCCGGAAAGTCCTTATTTACCCAGGCATGACCCTGCTAAACCCACTACAGTTGGAACTCTGATTTTGATGGATTCAGCCCAGCTCTGTCATGACCTACGGGTGAGTTTGGGCAAACCCCTTATCCTCATTAACCCACTAGTTCCAATTCTACAGAGTGATTTCAGTCCCCATTCACTACCTTTCCTCTGAGTGACTTATTTCATATCAAAAACACCCATTTATCTAAAATCAAGGTTGGGAAGATTAAATGAAGTAGTGTCAGGACCCAACAACATTTATCCCTAAATCAAAGAATCCAGAAACCTGTGCTAAGAAGTAACATTTTATTCCGTTAAGTTTCCATAAACAAATTGAATTAGACAGGGAAATGTATTGTTCATGAAGGGCTCTTCATAGAAGTAACAGAAAAAATGAGACTCACACAGATGTTTAATGTGCAGTTTAGTGGTTTGTAAGGTCTGAGGGATCAGGGAGTGGGGGGAATATGTGATTGTGGAATCGATGTGAAACAAGAGAGGTAAAAGATCAAATTCTATGAGACTGTACTTGACAAGAGAAGCCTGAAAGGAAAAACTAAAGAAGTAGTTCTTTTCTAATGTCTGAGATAAGTGGTTTTGAGGGGGGATTTCAGAAGCATCTTAAGGAAAGTAGTAGTGAAAGTAACCAAAAATAATATTTGAAGCCAAGTGTTTAGAATCCATTTACAAGAGTGACTGAAGGATTCTTAGGATGCTCTGCATATTAAAAGCTGGAAACATCTTTATAAAAACAGGAAAAAAAAAAAGAGGAAAGTGAACTGCTGGCCTTGTGGGGAGAAAAGGTAAATAAGACAAGTGTGTGTTGAGGAAGATGAGATCTTCCTTTAGTACAATATTATAATAACAAACATATTTTTCAAAACAGGGAGAAATTTTCAGGTTCAAGAGGAATAACATTATTTTTACAGTATTAAGAAAAAGAAGCAAACTGGATATGAAAAGGGAAGCAAATATCCACTCAGCGCTTTAAATTAATTCTCAAATATTTTGAAGTCTGTTTTATAAAAATGGCAATATGTTTACAATGCGACACTAACAACATCTCTTTCAGAAAGAGGCAAAGTCAAGGTTCTGAAAGAACAAAATATACACTTAAGTAAAGAAGAATTCAAATAAAGTATTGATAGAAAATGATAATAGTGAGAGAGACAGAGGCATATTGCAAAAAATCAAAGAAAAATGAGGAATTTATATACAGCATTTCGAGGTAAGAAAAGAAACAAGGTTCCACTTAAGGGTGTCTAAGAAGAGGATGAGGGAGTCTTGTTGGACTGTCAGATGAACTCATCAAAATGGTGTCAAAAGAGAAAGTATGGTGAATGGAAAAAAAAGTTATACAACCATTTCAGTGGGAGGAACAGGATTCATGCCAATGCTAACCAAGAAATAAAGTAACAAAAGATTTTACAATTAATCTTTCAGTTTAAATGAGAGGACGTGGATACCTATTATTGATATGGGGAGGTGCTCTTGGGATGCCTAGCCCTCTGCTAAGCAGTGTAAAATTTAAACACTGCCCAAGCAAACCAGTGGTGTGTGAAAAAGAGGCAATAAAATCAGGATAATCTGTCCCTGCGTCTCTGCTCCTTTCTCTCTCTCTGTCCTGTCCCTTTGGTAATCTATCCCAGTATCCATGACTCTCATCTTTCCCTTCAGTCAACATGACCCATTGTTACCAGGTGAGTTTTTTTCTAATCTAACTGAATAATGCTGCCTAATATCTTTGTAATAATGTCACTGCTGCCCTTACAGACCTTTGAGTGTCTCCCCAAGACTTACATGGTCAAATACAAACCTGTTCACTTAATCTTCTAACACATCCCTAAGAGTCTTTCACATACTCTTTGCTACAAACTGAGTACCAACCTTTCACTGAAATGATATTATTTCCCATCTTCATATTTAAACTTTACTTGCTTACATTGGAGTAATGGTGAGAGATGGGAGGAAATGATGTTTCAGCAGATAAATTTGTACAACTTGTGAAAAGGAAGTTACAGTGAATGATAATCTGGGCTGAGCCTTTTGAAAGTAAAGATAGGAAAATGTGATACA